AAAAAAAAAAAAAAAAAAAAAAAATGTTATAAAAATAAAAAAATTTTAAAAAAGGAAAAAAAATGTAAAAGCTGATTATAAAAAAGATTGTATAGGTATTTAAAAAAAAAAATAAAATTAATTAAATATACGTATATAATTTATATAATTCAAAGCATCTTCCAAACTTATTTCTTCTCATTTCACATTCATTTCTCTGAGTGCATCGGCTGGCACGCGATCGGTAGCAGCCCATAATGCACGACACGTACCATTGCTATCGACTCGAACTGACTTAATATATGCACCCACACAGTGATGACACGCATACCTACGAAAAAACATAAACAACATTGAGGGAGACACCACATCAAATTGGAACTGAAAATTATGCCAATTGGTTTATCACTTGGCAACTGGAATACTGAAAAACAAAAAAAAAAAACAAGCAACATCTGAGGGGCAGACAATTGCACAGAATTAAACAGATAAAAAAATTACAACAAAACAAAACACACACAAGCATTTCGCATGCCAAATTGTATTTAGTATTTATGATACTGAAGTACAGTTGGGCGCAAAGGCAGCTGCAACCCTTTCAGATGTATTGACTGAGCCAGCGCTCCTTGGTCTGACGCCGCCAATTGAGGGGAAATAAACGCTTCCAGATCTCGTAGCGAGCCGCATTCAGACCCTCTCGCAAGATTAGCTCGTCGCCAATGTCCAGATAGTAGCGTTTCTTGAAGCTGAACGGGCGCCAGCGAATGTCGCGCAATTTCTCGTCGCTGGGCTTGTTGGGGTCGCTGCGAAAGGAAATCCATTTCAATCTTTATTTCGATTATCAAATCTCTCTCCTACGTACCCCTTGTAGGCAAAGGCAGCGAACATGCGCGTCATCAGGTCGACCATGCGATATTCATCGTCATCCTCCGTAAACATGCGACTGATCGAGGGCTCCACAAACAAATACATTAGATCGTCGTGATGGACGACGCCGTAGGGCGCCTCCTCGGGATAGTGGATGTGACTGCGTCCGCCCTGGTAGGCGAAGCGATACTGATACACCTTCGTGGCCCGAGCGGCCAGATGGACAAATCGGTGTATACCAAAGCCCGTCAGGGCATCCGAGTAGAGTGTGGCCAGCGCCTGCAGCGAGCTATTCGCCTCGAGCGGCAGATTACCAAAGTAATACTGATGCAACTCCTGGCTAATGTTCTTGGCGCGCGGACTGCTGGCATTGTAGAGGAAACAGATTGGAGCCAGGGCCTCAAAGTTGCCATTGAACGCGCTGAGCAGGGAAGGACTTTGCAAGATGGCTAAGGATAGATCAAATATAGAATTAGGGATCTCTTTCTCTCTTTCTCTTTTCACATTCCTCACTCACATATAGCTGGACCCACAAACTCATCCTTGGTCATGCCCGTTATGATGGGTATCTTCATAAAGTTGCCATTCTGATAGCTGCGCACGGGATCCTCAGTGAGAAAACGCTCCTGCCCAAGGTCGGGCTCCACCACGGGCTTCCACAGGATGAGCGGATTGTTGCGCCCGAAGTCAAACATGCGGGGCAGCGTGTTGGCATACTCCAAATAGTGTTTCTAGAGATGAGATCCTCTCTATAGTCGCCTAGCTCTAATCATTGTCTTACTCAAGCTCACCTCACGCAGACAGAGCATCATTTCCTTCAGGTCCCTCGTGCTGCATTGCAGCAGTGCCGCTTGCTTCTTGGCTACGTCCATCTGATGCTCCGGCAACGACCACTGACCCGTTGCGGCGCCACTCATCACAATGGCTCGCTGGAACAGACCCTGCGACATGGGCGACACCATGTGCAGGGTGACGGCCATGGCGCCCGCCCCATAGCCGAGCACCGTGACCGAGTTGGGATCGCCGCCAAAGCGCGAGATGTGCAGCTTTACCCAGCGCAGCAGCTGCACCTGATCCTTGAGGCCCATGTTGCCGGGTGCCTCCTGTGTGCCCGTGGCCAGGAAGCCCAGTGTGCCCAGCCGATAGTTGAATGTAACCAGCACCAGATTGCGATCCATGAAATACTGCGGACCCGCAAAGTTCTTGCTCTGGCCGGACAGCGAGTAGAAGCCACCGGGATGAATGAAGACAATGACGGGCTTCTTGGGATTCGGCTCGGATTCACTGGGCAGCTGGCGTGTGTAGATGTTCAGCCTGAGGCAATCCTCGCTCACATCCTCGCTGACCAGTCCCGGCTGCGGGCACTTGGGTCCATCGAAGGTGGCATCAAAGATATCAAACCATTGCTCAATCGGCTCCGGCGGCCTGAAGCGCAAGTTGTCGACGGGCGCCTTGGCATACGGGATGCCCCGAAAGGCATAGAAATTGCGACCCGCCTGCGAGGGCAATATGGTGCCACGAATTTTGCCCAAAGCCGTGGTGATGACCAGATCCGAGAGCTCCTTGTCGCTGCCGATGGGCACATCATCATCCTCATCCGCCAGGGCCTTGGCCACCTCGCTGCTGTTCTGCAAGACTGAAATGGAGCTGCCCAAGAGCAGCAGGAGCAGAAATCCAACTGACTGCAACATTTTCCGCGCAATCTGCAAACAAGACTGTGGAGGCTGGAGCCCAAGCTTCAGCCTTTTATAGCCCCCAACTCGACTCAGGATTGAGTCACATAAAGTTTGCAAATTGATGGGATTCTTTTATGCTGCTGAACGTGGGCGTTGGCTGTTGCTTCCTTGTTCTGTGAGCGGCTTCCCATGTCCAATTGGCGACGGGCCGTGTTAACCATAAATAACTAACGTGCTGTCCGGCCCGAGATGCACTTCCCACACACACACACACACACCCACCCAGTGCTGGTGGCACCTAGCCCAATCCCAATCCGATCTGCCGACCAGCCCACGCAACATTTTGATACGAATACTTCAGTTGGGCATTGTCTATTAATTTCTTATTGCTCCAATTTTTCCCACGTGAACTTGTTTGCGTGCTAGCGACTTATTAGATTAACAGCGCATTTAAACACCCTCCCTCGGGCTTAACCCCGGTGACCTACCCAACAAAAAAGTAGACGAAGAGAAAAACCCAAACACAAAGCGAAATTCACAGCCGAAAGTGATCCCTAAATGCTTGCTAATAGCGTTTAATGGTGAGCATTAAAGGTGAGCACAAGTCATAAAGTTCTCCAGCACAAGACGATGATGACACACCCCATTGTGCCCGGTCTCTCGGTAGAGACCGCAGAGCCAGAGCCAGAGCCAGATCCAGCCGAGAGACCAAAGTCGTTGAAGTGCGTTAAGTGTTCCTTTGTGCTCCTCTTCCGTTTGTTCTTCCTTATTTGTTTTCCTTTTCCTTTGCATTTGCGTTTGCCTGTTTTATTCCCAACCTCTCCGTTTGCTCTGTGCGCCGTGCTCAAAGGACGCACATAAATTGTCTGTTGGTGGAAGGCAGACAAAAAGCGTGCTAATTGGATTTATATTGGGCATTATGAAAGGAACTTGGTAGCGACTGCTGCTGCTGCTGCTGCTTGCCCTACTTTAAAGTGTGAAAACCTATTGGTTGGGTAGCTCTTGAGATCTGCAATTATATTTTCCCATAAATGAAGTAAAGGAATAGAAAAGAATATATGAGGGAGTTACTGGGAATCAAGTGCTGAGATATGCCTGAATATTTTTTTGAAACTCAGAATTATACAGTTTAAAAAAAAAATAATTGATTAAAAAAATATATTAAGGTGATATTTAATAAATTGTACATTTTTTGAATAAATAAATTAAAATATATGTTTTATAATATATAATTAAATAGAAAATTTACAATAGATAGCCAAATTGATATTTCCGGTCTTAAAATAATTTTATGAACGGAATGACATAAACGAATTTTTAATATATTATTATTTTCTTTTATTTAAAAATATAAAATATGCTAGAAATGTATTTATTTCAGCTTTTTGTTGCGCCTATGATATTGCTTATGGCGTATATAGCATCCATGGGGGGAACTTTTTGATTCACTTCAATTTCAACAATGGGGTCTATTAATTTATTTTATTTTATAAAATATATTCTTCTTAAATGCAATAACTTAAATTCGTTCTTACCCTCGAGGAATTAAGCGACAATCAAAATTTTAAATATTTACTAGTATAGTAAGCCCGAGATCTTAACTAAATTAAATTGGAGGAAAATCGGAAGAAAATTATAACGAATATATTTAATATTTCGGCCAGGAAATATTTAGTTTTCATATTTTTTATATCCAACTGCTATGAATATAAAGCTCACATCAGACAAGATTCAGATCACAGCTAGCACATGGCCGTAGGTGCTTCTATAGGGTCCATATGTAATCCCAGCTCTGGAGAATAAATGACAGTCATTTGGACAGAATTCAACTCCTACACTGCTGAAGCTCTGGCAATAATTGATGATATGACCTCATTCTCAACCAGTTGCCACGCCCATGCGGCGATCTTCACGCCCTGACATGCTCCCTCCAGCAGTGCTAACCTAGGCCCATCACACAGAGCACACTTCATGGCAAGCTGTGCCGTTGTTAGACATTCTGTGGTCGTCTGCGCTGTAAGTATTACCTGGTAATTGTAACATCAGCTCCGGCTCGGGGCTCGGGGCTCGAGCTCGAGCTCGGCAGGTGACACAAATGCAGACGCCTCTCTGGTGCTGCAGTCAGACACTAATGACCAGACGACGTCTTGCCATGCGCCACAGGATGTGTCTGCAGTGTTGTCGTGAGGTGTGAAGAGTGGCCAAACCAGTGTCTGCTAGTATATACATACATATACATATATATATATGTATGTATGTATGTATGTACGTATGTGTTTGTTATTGCTTTACGACTCCTGCCGCGCCTTGAGAGCCGTTGCTCAAGTGTGCCCGCGGTGATTTTGTGAGTTTTTCCTATTAAAAAGTGTTTTGGTTTTAACTTTCAATTTCGATTTAATTAGCTGGCAAATGTTGACATATTGCCAGAAGCCAAAGGCGTTTGTGTGTGGTCGAGATCGCAAATAGATATACAGATATGCCTTTCACTAGAACCCGGGCACTAGTTACCATCTAATAGAGACTGGCCTTGGATATGGAATGTGCCAAGTGTTTGCCCAACTAAAAAAAAAAAAAAAGAATAGAACACCAAATCCATTTTCCATTCGATTGTCAAAGCGCATAATTTATTAGCCATAATCATTAGATCGAGCGAGAGGCGTTTGTCTGTTTCAAAATTAGCATTGCATTCTATTTGCAATGCATTTCTAATGCTACCCCCAGCAGCTTAGGGGTTGGATTAGCAACCCCTCGCAAAAAAACAACGGTAAATGCACATTGACTAATGAAATGTTTGGCGATTGCGGCATTTTCGGCGGTTCGATTTCGAGTGCGCCTGGGCAAGAGGTCGTTCTGGGCCAAATGATTTTTAGTTATTTATGGCCCACAAAATCGTGACAATTGCCCCGAGTTTTTGCCATTTCCAAATTTCCACAAAAATATCAAATTTTGTTTAGCCATTTCCAATTCAGTTTATGCCAATTTGCATTTGATAGTACGCCCGCGAATTTGTTGTCACCGGAATGCCAGCTAATTAGTTGGATTTGTTTTCCAGGTTTTATGCTCTTCTGGAGCGTTCAGCGTGGCCCGTGCCCGACCGGGTCTGCCGCGGCACCTGGGCACGCGTCACACAAGAGATAAGTTTTATTTTATTTACTTTTTTTTGGTTTTTCGAAAATTTATGACAAAGCGCGCATTGCAAATTGGCATGCGGCGAGATATGAATAACTTTTGTGTACACACATATGGGTGAAAATAAAATGAACAGCATTGCATTTGCTAGGCTTTATATGAGTGCCCTTATGCATTGAGACTATTATAGATGCCTCCATGGAGACGAAAGTTAAATGCAAAATAAATAGAAAATCACTTGAATTATATAAGAATAAATAAATTAACTCTTAAATAAATGCAAAATTTTCACTGGAGATGGAAATGAAATTTGAATATAATTTTAA